CTTTTGGCTTAGTAACAAAGGTAAAAAGCTTAGCCAGAGGTGGCAGAGGGCTTTGCTTTGCTCCATGTTCACAATATGCAGGGCCTGTGCCCAGCCTGGAATGAAACTGCAGCCACAACGCAAAGTAGACTTCACAGCATGGTCTGATGGAACCAGCAGCTTCTTTGCAAAGCTCACTACAGGGGAACCGAGCTGGGTCAGCCACCTCACTGCAGCTTCTGGCTAGTAGAAGCTGAGGTCACAGGACACTACAGGGGTACTGTGCACTTGGACCTAGTGGAGGGATGCTGGTAGACCTCTGTGGCTCTGCAGAGAGCCAAACTGCCAGCCTCCTTTACCGTCAGACAGCTCCCTCATCTAAATGGGGTTCGAGTGAGGTGGCAGATGAGGCTCATGGTGGAACTAATTATTCTGGACCTCTGGAAGCTGGATGATAAACACTCGGAGCTCTGGGTTAACCAAATTCTAGGTGCAATGGAGGACTGGGTTATTAATTTCCCTAAGTGTCAGCTAAAAGTATGGAGCTGCATACAACTTTTCTGTGTTGCTGTTTTCATCTCTCTACAAAAAAACCCATGAATTTCCTGTTCTTAATAAATGCTTAAGAGAGGTAAAAAGGCACTTTCCCGGGACTGTTCACTGTGCCATAGTAGTGGTATAGCTAAGATACTTCATGGGAGATGTAGTCCAGCAAGGGAGATAGAGGGCTAGATTCAGTTGCTTTAACACAGGAGCCAACTGTGACTCAAGACACCTTCAGAAACCTGAAACCCTTGTAAAGGACTTGTGGGAGCCCTGCAGCCATCTGGGACAGCAGCTGGAGGTAAGTTGTGATACCCCATACCACCTCAAGTGGCACTAGACATCTGTATTTAGGCGACTGAATCATTCAAATAGTGTAAATGAGAAGCAGGAGAGGTGTAAAACAAAAACATGCATCAATATATGCAACTGAAACTATATTTTACCTCAGCTATTGCTTCCTGATTATCATGGAAGTGACAAATCTGGATAAATTCTCAAACTACAAAATACCTTGCTTATCTACCAGCAGCTGGAGCTGCTGAGTTATTCAAAAGGCTCTCTTCCCCATCATCACCATGTCAGCCTTGCTGTGGTCTGGATACAACCAGCCAATTTACCTCATTTTGTTGGTCTTTGTTGGTTGCTAGAATAGTTTAGTGATGAAAAGGATACAAGTTCTCAGAGGTGTATTGACTGACCTGAGTGGTGGTGATGCCTGACTGTTTCTGGTGGGTGCTAGATGGACATGGAGCTGGACACATGATAAGACATCCTGTGGAGGATTTTGGCAGGAAAGAAGTTGCTCAATTCTGGTCAAAGCTTCCCCGACGCTGCTTCTTGTTACTGCTTCTCCACAGGCTCAATTGTACACAGCTATCAGTCCAACAGAGTGGACTGGGTTTACTTGTGGAATAATGGACATTAACCCCTCTTGATGGAAAGAGGTAGCCATGGTTACTGCTGGTTTAATTAGATGCCTTAGTCTGAAATCTGCAGGTAAGGGGCTAAGTTCATGGTGGTGGATACAGCCAAAATCAGATGATTTAGCTCTACCAAGAAAGACCTGCTGGATAAATTTTTGAGATGCAAAGACTTCAGTGATAGCTCATGACTTCTAGTGGGACAGCAAAGTCATTTATAGCATATGCCCCTTTTAAAGATAGCATTAACTATGCAATTACTGGTGCAGACATGAGCTCCAGTTCCAGATCCAAGATGTCTTCTTTATAGTGAATATTAGTGAATATTTACACCTCGTTGGTGAAGTGTTGTCCTGCGTTGTTATCTTGTTTAGAGATGTAGAAAGAGCACTTAGAAATGTTTCAGTTGGTTTATCCAGGTCTATGCCCTTTATAGTCCAAACCAAAGATTAATAAGGATTTGCTGATCTCTTGTTACTTCCCGCACAAGATGCAAAACCGTTGATTTGCTAGTGGTCATGGTGCCTGAGCATGATCGCCTAATCCCAATTAAAAAGGCTGAACGAATATCTTGCTTCAAAAGTGTAACGCTTCTCTGCACAAAACAATGGTTTTCATTTTCTCATTTGGTGAATCCAGCTGCTAGTTTCCAAAGGGACACACCAAAGTTCACCTGAGCAAATCAATAAAGAACTGTGCCTTATAAGAAATTCTCCTCTTGGGCTGTACGACAAAATGTTAAAACCTATCAGGGACAACTAGAATGTTACTTCGGGATACTTCAAAAGTGAAAAGTTATGATAAATTAGCTTTACCCGTAACACTTGTTTTTACAGTAACAACTCTCAGCCTCTCTTATGTGTCAACGCTACCTATAGCAAGCCTAATACTGGTTGTACCTAGGAACAAGCAGATCAGAAAAGGCCACTGCACTCTGCTGAGATGGAGAAATGAGAGAAATAGGCTCACTTAAGAGATTTCTGCTTAGGCAGTAGTGCCACAGAAACAGCCTAGAATTCAGCAGTTTGCCTTCCCAGACTGCACAGACATTCATACAAAAAGTTCTAATATGCTAGCTGCTGATCCATAAACTTGAATAACCGGGCTTAGCACACTGGTGCTGGATGGGGCTATCAAGACAGGACTTGACCTCACACAGTTGGTAGCAAAGGCATTGCGTCTAGCAGGCTGCAACTGTAGCATGGCAGCTGCTGGTGTCCCCATTCAGACTTGTTAAAAATACGCAGATTGTCAGCATCAGAATTTCATGGGAGTGGGCTGGCTTCCATGAGATTATTACGTGGAATATGTTACTCAGACTTCATCATTTCAGTTAAGTTTTAGATGCTCAGATCATAACAAAGATCAAATTTATATAGCACTGAAACCTATATATACTATGTTAAATAGTTACCTATTATGGATGTTATCTATCACATGGACTGATTTAATCTAATATTGAAAATTCTAAGGAAATAAAACACTAATATTGAAACAAACTTTTTTCAATAATAATCAAACCCTGTCAGGCATTTGTTTGATGGGAGTTTTTTAGGGTTTTCTTCTGTTTTGGAATAGCTTGTTTCAAACCATTGGAATTTCCTTCAGAACAGAAATCCCAGCTCCCAGCCAGTTTTGTTCCTATTGTTCCTGAATCCCAGATCCCAGCACCCCGTGGCAAAACTTCTTTTCCAGTGCGTGTCCCCGTTCCACCTCCCCATCCCCATAAGTCTTGCTGCAGAGAGTCTCACAGGCTTCTCTTGAGAAACAGCCAATGCACAAAGCCCACTTTTTGGAGCACAGTTGCATCGTATTAGGTCCCTGTGCCTAGGGCTCTTTGTAGCAGAATCTCTCATAACGCTAACATTAACCATCTGGTACTATCTACCCTAGGGAGAGGCCTGGTGGACTACATTACCCAAAATCCTTGACAAGAGAGTTCATGGGTGGCTAATGAGCGAAAACTAAATTGTGTTCAGGCACTCTGGGTTCAAAGTCGTCATTTTTTTCTTGCCTAGAAGCTACTGGCCAGATGTACATGACGGATCATGGTGACAGGAAGTAAAAATGAAAGCCAGAAAGCAGTTTCCCTCAGATCTGCCTGAATAACAAGCACAAATTCAGATGCCATTTTCTGTGCAGAGCCATCTGTCCAGAATTAACTGTGTTTGGCTGGCTCCTTACAGAAATATTCAAAAGTCACACTCGCTGTCAAATCCTGGAAAAGCAGCCCAAATTCTATAAATAAAATATCCACTGAGGAGATTAACCAAAGCAGAGCACTAAGATAGTGGGAGGCAGTGTCAAACACAGACAACTCTCCAGATGCTGTAGTGAGACACCCATAATAATTTCATCACAGGCACAGCTGGAGAGATGCCAGACTTGCTCAATGTAACTGAAGCAGGTGACAGTGAATCGCTGGTTCTTCCCTAAGTAGCCACACCACTGACAGCTTGGCATATGCACCCTCCACTACCACCCTTTTAAGATCAGAGCACTGCTGCTTTCAATGCTGACAGCTGGCATCCACTTTCAGAGATGCATCACTACACTTTAAAAAAGCTTCTTTAAAGTTTACAGTGGTGGAGATGTCACATAACATTTGGCTTTTCATGTGATGCAGTGTAAATGCTGTAATCATATTTACAAAACACGATTGATTACATGTTGCACGTGAACTCTTTCCTTTAAACTTTCTCATGAAACACACTCACCTGCCTTTTCCTAATTTCAACCCCCAAAAGGTCCAAGTGAAGAAAGACAAACTAAATAGTTCCAAACAAGGCAAATAGGCCCCATTGTCCATGAGATGGAGGTGACAGTTCAGCTCCAAATTTGAGTTGGCTAAATCTTCACACTCTTCTTTTAAAACCTTGTGTAAGTAGTTTGTTTCTGCGTCAGTCAACACAGACTTACACCCCATGTAAGATTAATGTGAGATCCCCAAATTGCTTAGGCCCAAAGCAGAACTGTTCACTTGATTTCCAGCTCAATAGTCCTTTGTTTGGTGCTGTGATCTCACCAATTCAGAGAGTTACCCCTTAGCTCTGCTGCTGTAAATGGATAAGCTGTGCAGGAGGCGGTGGGCCTCTTGAGCTTTGTTGCCTAATTCTCCCTTAAGTTGCTCCACACTGCAAACTGCAGTAAATCACCCTAAGTGACTGCTAGGTTCACATGGCCAACTCTGCTGCAATGGAAGTAGGGAGCACTCCGTTATCATTGTACCTTCACAGCTGGGAGATGACAGTCTTTGCCATAGGGCAATCATAAAAAGCTGCTTGGCAGGTTGTACCCCTGTTAGATACTGCTCCACTGCAGCCTTAGATACTAAATGGGTGTGCATGGGAGGGCTACATTTTACAGTAGAGTAAACCAGGTGCGCTCACTTACTTGAAGCTCCTCCTCAACATCCATACTGGCACAGTGTGACTCCTGTAGATGAACATGAACATGACCAGCTCACACTATAGAAAAGGCATTAAATTCTTGCAATTACAAGCACAACTAAAGCACTGGGAAAAAATGAAAACAGATCACAGTAAAGAGAGAATGTTGTAAATAAACCCAACAGGGATGGTATGCCTTTATGTACTTTTTTTGCACTTGATTTTTACATGATTCTGAGATTAAAGGTACCAAGTAACCTGTATTCAGAAAGCCCCAGTTAAAAGAATACAATTCTGTTTTTAGAATTATATTATTTTACTATAGCACATTTGAATCTACAGCCAAGAATGCTTAAAAATACGCTGTAAACCTTTGAGCCAATAGGAGATGAGGTTAAAGCTGAAGCAAAATCATTGTCCACGGGAGTCTGGCATCCGGTAAAGTTCCGCTGGAATCATTTAAGACATCAGATTGCCTCGTCCAGTAGTGGGAGAGACTTTGAATGGAAGGACATCCAGTCCTGCAGATGTTCAGATAACAAATGTCTTCAAGGCACTTTAAAGATGAAGCACTACATATAAATAGAAAGTTTCATTATTAGATATTAGGAAGAGTAATAAAAATAAATACATTTCATCAAACTGAAGAACATCTGAGGGCTGTTTTATGAGACACAACATAGGAGTCTTTTCAAAGTAATGATTTATTTTTTCCACATTACACCTTTCCATTAGTAGAGTTCAGAAATTAATTTGACGATTTTTGTTTCATTCAATCCAGCAGCGTCAAACAATTTTGCCAAAGACAAAACTACTTAGAAAGCATAAAGAAGCTTGTAAAAAGCTACTAGACAGAGATGTTCACTCAATCACTAGCAGCACTGATTAGATCCAGAGCCACAATAAAAATGGATAGACAATATAGGCCCGTACCTTAAACCATCTCAAATACCACATAAATAAAGGAGGGGCACAGGAGCAAGAGAGAGTGCTGTAGAAAAACAAAATGAAAGCCATTCACCAATATCTCAATTTTGAACAGTTATGTAAAAACATCTGGAAGCTGCAAATCCTGGAGAACTCAGCAGTCCCCTTGTCTCCTGTTTCACCCAAGGACATGATGTTTGGTCTCTATGACCTAGAGCAGGAGCAAAAAGAAGCATAGCACATCAGATAAGGAGCATGCATGAGACAGATCTTTGTTGGCTTTGTTGCAAACCAGTCCATCATTCCTTTTGTTATATGGATAGTGATTGGAAGGGAAACATAGCCAGGGCTTACATCCAGAAGAGCGATATTTCAGCCATGTTCCTACGTTGACTGCAAACGTATATTGTATCTAGTCAACCTTTTGGTCTTCAAATGATGATTACATTTAATGACAGTTTTGATGAATATATTCTCAGGAAGGGAAATTCCAGTAAGATCATAAAAGCACCTTTGAAGTAAGGAAAATACAGAATGCCAGCCTTTAAATATTTATGGCTTTCCTTTACCGGTAGAAGAAAAGGTCTGTGGTATATGAAAAACCTTAAGTTAGAAATACTTCAAATTTAAGTAACATTTACAAAAACAGATGAGAAAACATCTCATAGCGTATTAGGAAAAGAATGTAAGATTTTTGTGCATAATATGATGCAGTTCTTCTGTCTTCCGAAGCTGTGATTGCCAGTATTACACAGAGAAATCATTTAATTGAAATACAAGAAAGAACATCCTCAGAAAGAAGAAGAATAGGGGAAGGAGTGAGGAAGGTAAAAAACAAAGGGAAGATAAATAATTGTCAGCTAGATCTGTAAACAACTGCTTAAAGAACTGAGAACCAAATGAGATAAAGACAGGACAGTGCTATAGAATACAAAGCTCTCGATTTTTGGAGGGAGCAAGGGTGTGCTCGTGGATTAAAAATTACTTATTTCTGAGATTTACAGACATAAAGATGAAATGATTTAGAAAACACAAAAACATTTTTTCTAGTGAAGCAGAAGGGTAGGAATATAAGGAGTATTTTAGGAGCCTCCAATTACGGTTAGGCCTATAAGGATCCTGAAAAGCAGGGCTATTAGGAATGGCAGTATTTTGCATGTGTGGTGCACACATGTAGAGCTAAAAATACACAATGAAGTTGCAAAGTCAGTTCTTTAAAGTGAAGAACATCAGAACTTCTGTTGCCCATAAAAATCTGCCTTGGGTTTGCTTGCTTTTGCCTCAGGGTATGGCGAGGTTTTACAGAGTGACTTGCTAGTCATCATTTTGTCCCATTCCCTCTGTTCTTTTGCATAACCCAACTTTGAATATAAAATTGCTAAGTTGCTCACCACTCTCAGTTATACTGTAATACTTGACTGCTTCACAGGCATGACTGCATTTATAACAAGACTCTGAAGCAAGGGAATATTATAACAGATGGGAACTGAAGCACAGAGAGATTAATTTCCAAGGGTGTCTAATTTGAGGCTGCTAGCATTTGATTTTTTCAGACTTTTTAGCATTAGCAAGCACATTGCATTTTCCAGACACCACTCCTCTTGACTTCTGTGGCTACTGCAAGTGCTCTACAGTTCTGCAAGTGAGACCCCAGCGTACAGCAAATGATTACCTGTCAAATTCTTGGTGATGTGTGGCACATTAAATGCGTATATGTGAGTGAGAGAGAGAGAGAGAGAGAGAGAGAAAAAGAGTTCAGTTGTCAGTGGCAGCATTCCACCACCCCTGCTCTGCTTTGCTCAGTAAATACTTTCCAGTTTCCTCAGAATGAAGGCTAGAAAAAGATAACCATGTCCTTCATTAAACAGTCCTGTCTCCTCTGCTACTGCATTCAGTGTGCAGAACAGACCCCCTCAGACTGTCACCAGAAGCAGTCCCCCCTGCAAATTGAAAGTAGTTGTTTTCTCCTATTATTCCAATGAGTGTCTTCCGTTTCTTGGGGCATTTCTTAAATCCCAGTCACGAAAGGTGAACTCCTATTCAGCAATTTCAAACCAAAGCAGGGAGTGCGATGGGGTATGGAAAATGTAAGTCCGGTATGCATCCCTGTATCACTGTTTCCAGGCAAACGTTTCAACTGGTCTACTGGAAACCAGTTTTCTTGTTCATCACAGTGTGTGCAGAGGGATGCAGAATGGACCATGGAATGGTAGCCCTTGTATCTTGTGTTCTTGACACAGTAAAATAATACGGAGAGATCGTAGAGGCACAGTTAGCTTTCAGATACTTACATTTGCTAATTATAATGAACATCTGAAGCCTATCCAATGCATATGTTGCTCTAGCCAGTTTTGGAAATATGAAATACAGTGAAAGCTCCTATCTCACAAACTGTTTAAAGTTCCCATATTTTGTGCACACTTAGTGCCCTAATACAAAAAAGGGCAAGCAAATGAAATTCTGTGGTTGTGAAAGAAGGTAGCGGTCCCTTCTGGCTTTAAATTCTCTAATTTATTAACCTTTAAAGGTTACAGAGACATTACGGTTAACACATCGTTTCCCCGTTAGCTGTGTATGAATATCTGACTACTCTTTTCAAAGACTTTTGGTTCAGCATCATTTACCAGATGTTGGTCTGTTGCTTGAAATACAGAAGACTTGCGTTTCACTGGAACAATCACCTAATAGTTAAATTAGACATTCTAACTTCTTTTCAACTAAGAAAGGCTAGAAAGAGTTGTTTGTGTACATGAACCAACCCATTTGTCATAATATACCACATTTCAGCCAGTGTGGGGTCATACCAAATCTTGCACCACCATATCCTGCTGTGAAATATGCTGTAAATGGCTGAAATATGCTGTAAAATGGCTTTCAGGCTCACTTCTTTCTTGCTACCTCCTGCTTCCACTGATGAGAACAGCAAGCATTTGATATCTGCAAGTTGATTGACAGATTGAAATCAATTGTTGACTGCTTGAATCATAACAGTGAGTGCTGTAAATGATCACACTTCTCTGTAGTTCTCATTTCTAGAACAAGACTTAAAAGTTTGTTATTTGCAATGGGAGAAAATAATTTCCTACTCAGTATTCATATATCCTTCCCAGACGAGCCGCTAAGTTCCTCTGTCAGCATGAGCATAGTTACATTCTGCTGATGTAAATGCAAAGAGAGGATTGACTTTCCAGCACACAGTATGCTCTTACCATATAGGAAAAAGCCTGGTGCACCTTGTAGGCAAAGATGAAACCTTTTCAGAAGCCATGGCCTTTGCAAAAGTTTTGATCCAGCTCTGACATGCCTGAAACCAAAGCTACATTTTCATTCAGGCAAGAATTCTTTTCCTAAGCCCATAAGCATTCTGGGCCATATTCAGTGGCGCTGCACGCCTGTTACAGCATCTAAATTCAAGGGAATAATGAGTGATTCAAACCAAAGCTCTGGGGAAGATAAAGAGATTCAGCACCTAATTTAGGCTCCATAGTAAGTGGTCTGGATATGCCATACAATGCAGCAGATCAGTTGAATATCCTTTTGCTACTCTCTGCCAAAGAATGCAGCACTCCTGTGCTTCACAACACAGAGTTTTAGCGTAAGCTTTTTACAGCTACATGTGAACTTAAATGTAACAATACCCAGGAGAGAGAGAAGGATTTCCCCTATATAAATTGTTCATAGCATGACAATTTTTTTGCGAGTTCATCCCCCTAGGTTGTCTTTGATAATCTGGTTATGAAGTTAGAGGAGCCACAGAGTTGTACCAAGCCCTATTTTAACTCCCATTTAATAACATGGTGATTATTGCTGTCTAATTGTAGCAGCTGCAGAAGGGCAACATTTTTAGTGGGTTCTGTGTTGTTACCTGCAAGTTGATGAATCCAAAATCCCCTGGTATAGTCTTCCTGAAAGACTTGCACTGACCTGCATATTTTTTGAGTTTGTCCCAGTCTCTAGAAGTTTCTACAAGGTTTCTTTGAACAAATAAGCGTTTGCATCGTGAGAATATTTCCCACAACAAAAGGACACAGTCTTTGAATGTGGTCTTTGTGCCTTCTCTTTGACCTCAGTTATTTGTTGCACAGATGACATGTCGCTGCTGCAGTACACTGGCCTCTTCAGTTACCATCTCTTAATCTAGTAATTTCTAGTGCACGTTTTGGGGCCAAACCAATAGCGGCTTTTTGGTTTGCTTCCTTTCGCACACTAACCGAACCCACAAAACAATATCAAAACTCCGCAGGTCTACAAAGCTCTATTGATTTTCCTAATTGAAACAAATAGTTAGAATTTCCTTTGTTTCATCCACACTCCATTTAGAGACATATTTATTAGTAACAATACATGGAAACTACATGGATTCATTAGAATCGTCATTAACTGTATTTAGTAACTATACACAACCTCATGAAAATTAGCTTTATACAAGCTACCTTGTCTGGCTTCTAAAGGGAGACACACAAGCGAGCACATGTAGTTGTTCAAATAATTTTAATAGGTCTCATCAAATGTTTATATGTTACTTTACTATACTGCTGTCTTTTAACCTTACAGCTGCCTGTATATCCTGAAGAGTATACGTAAATTTTGATGAATAACATAAAGCTCAGGTCCTGGTATTTTGATGAAGTATCAGTAGAATAACTGCACAGGGAAGGAATTAAGGGAAATCTTTGCATAGTAGGCAGGCATGCTGGAATGGTGTAGGATCTTCTGTTTTTCCACACAAGTCCTGTTCTCCTGAAGTCAAACTGAGTTTTGCTCATTAGACTCCAGCTGGGGATCTTGATTATTTCAGTATTTGACATCATTTAGTGTTTTACTAGAATAAAGCTCAACAGAAGCAAATCCTGTGACAGATATGTACCCTTCCGCAGAGGCCTTACTTGGCTTTTTGTTGCAACCAGTAACATTTCCTATACATGTTTAAATGGTGCAATGGACTTTGTGTGAGAGTTTGGTCAATGGGTATGACACCTTAAATGGAAAGACAGCATTTGACATCAGGATAGTCTCTAGATGAGGCACTAGAGAAAGTGTAGGCACCCTACACTGAAAGCTCCTGATAGTCACTTCAAAGAGAAAGGGAGAAACTAATATAAGCCTATTCTATGATTATCATATTAGTAAGCACAAAGGAATTGCAGTAAGTTTGGGTTGGGGTCCAGCAAATGAACTTCACTGCAAATGGTAAACTGCCAACAGAGTGGTAATGGAGGTATCAGGAGACAAGAGAGACTAGCAGCGAACTGGCTATCATGAGCAGAGGCAATGGGCTAGGAGGGAGCTGGGGAACTGGACGGTGTATGCTGTTGGTTGTAGGTAAAGAGAAAGGATGAATTTGGTGAATAACTCAGGCCTTTATGCAGAGGTACCAAGATGTCTACACCTATGCTGTGAACTTACAGAAAGTTACACTGAAGTATTAGGAAAATGCCTGCTTAACGCTGAACAAAGCGACAAAGTACCCTGCAAGCAGCTACTGCTTATAACCCATTATCTGCTCTGGGCAGCAAATAGTTGTTGTTTTTTTTTTTTTTTAAAGATTTAATACATTTACTCTGAAGAAAATACAAAGGTGGAACCTGGGAATGAAGTAGGGAACACAGTAAAATTCTGCAGCAAGTAGAAGAGCAGAAATGGAGAAAGCCAAGGGAGATTTGCTGCTTTCCAGGGGTTCAAAGCCATGGCCCTTTTTCAGAGTGTAGCTGTGTTTTTGCTGGGCATGACAGGATTCATGAAAAGATGTCTCAGCATTTAGGAGCTTTTAAAGTATGAATAAATATTACACATAAAATACAGTATTCTCTTTTATGCACCTCTCTCTCACTCACCCCTCTGGCACCTTTTCCTCAGAGCTTCTCACTTCAGTGGTTCAGAGGTGTTTATTGCCAGGATCTTCTACCCTTATTTCTTCAGGCAGAAGTAAAATACTTTGAATCTGTTGCCCAGACAGAAGGAAAATTAGGGAACTGAAGAAAAGTGTTTCCAAAGAGCTACAAAGCCTCACTCCTTAAAAGCGCTGCAGACAGAAAAGACTTGCCTGGCAAGAAAGATCCAAGAGCCTGCTGCAGTGCTTAAACTCACTGGGTTAATGCTTCAGCCCATATATAAGTTATCCCTCTAGAGGCCAGCAGAGTATCAGAAAACAGTTACAGTGACCTAAATCATAATGCTACTGTAGAACCAACTTTTACCCAAATTATTAACACTTAAAACTTCTTCCAGCTGTCCAAGGGCTGCGTGCTGCATTCAAATTGAATTGTCCTGCAAGTATAGTAGCAACATAAGAAACATGCCATAACGTTACCTTTATCATGGATCTAAATTCTTTAAGTAGGGCCTTAGATGTTAGAAGTAGAGAGTACTCACTGAAATAGACATATTGCCCTTATTCGTATAGGGAGGATCTACTCATTTAAGAAGTATGTTTGAAATTAGCCTACACTTAGGAGAGACAGCATGTCTTGTGGTTAGAGGAGGGAGTGGAGCTCTACCCTACTCTGGCATTGATTTGCTTTCTCTGAACTTCTGTGTTTTGGTTTTACCATCTGTAAAATAGATACTGTAATACTTGCAATGCTCAGCTGACCCAGCAGAAACATCTCCTGCCTCATAGACGTGATGAGAAGATTAATTACTACAATTAATGACATAAAAGAGCCTCAACGTACAGTTCAATGGGAACGCAAAGTAATGAGAACTCTGGCAAACAAAGCATGTATATATGTAATTTTATTTTTCAGGAATACATTTTTTTCTAGATCGTGCACTGACCTAACGCTTTCCTTTTGAGCAGGTCTTACTCTAAGGCTTGCTCCTGCAGTTCTCATGCAGCCACATTCCCACAGAAGTTTGCTTGAGGAAGGCCTCAAGATTCAGCTTTGTCTATTTTGTCTAGGTGCCAGGAAATATTATCCTTTTAATTAGCAGGTCTGTTTCTTTGATATGTAAGCGGTTTCATTGCAATTTCATCTCTTCAGTTGTAGTCTAGCACCTGGGAGGTAAGGGAAAAGGAAGTAAGCAAGCTCTGAGTTTTTCCATCATTTCTAAAGAGGGATACTTCTGAGACGCTGTACTTGTGTGGGTGGGCAGATGGATGGATGGATAGACAGACGGAAAAGGGAGTTTCCTTTATGGGATTCCAATAATTGGTATGTGGTTTACATTCCATTCATCTGAAGGACTCTGATTTTAATCAGAAACAGGCTTGGGCTGCTGAACTACCTCTAGTGTTCAAAACATGCTCTGCTTTCAGCCAGTGACTTTTCTCACATGCATCTTTTCTTTGACACCCACAGGCCCCAAAGAGTAATGCGGTTATTTACCACTGAGAACTCAGTGTCAGGTCCTATAATAGCAGCTCATTCAGAGCCCTCTTCCAGGCAGAGGTTTCCGATTGGTAGCTTCAGAAGTAGAAGCACTTTATAACGTGGTATTTGAAACTGGCACTGATTTCGTGAAGAGGTTTTTTTTCCTAGGCTCATCCAACTCTGGGAAAGCCTTGTCTGGACAGCGTCATGGAGGTCTGGCAACAGAACTTGGCTCTTGGTAGCCAGACATTAATGCAGACAACCCCTGAGAAAAGTCCCATATTCGGCAGCTGGACTTGCTGTCCTTTCAGCACAAATGAATGGGGGCTAACACCTTCTACAGAACTAGTCAGACTAAATACACACCAATGAAAGATAAGTTTCAGCTTCAAAGCTGGTGAAAATGTGGAGAACTTCACCATCGACTGCTGTGATCCAAGGGCAGGATAGACAAATAAAAGCACTGGTGTGCAGTTATCTAGAATTCTCTGTAGATCGTTTGTAATGGGCAGGTAGGAAAGCCTTCATCGAGTCCCACTTTCCACCCTCAGCTAATTTGCTCCTTCATCCAGATTTGTTTAGCTTTAAGAATTAATTAAACATGTCCCAACATATTTATTTTTTGTCTGGTCCTCTGCTGACTAACCTGTCTAGATTGCAATTACACACATTGTGGAGACTTCCTTACCATCCACAACTGCATGAAGTGCTTCATTTCACAGCTCCTCCAGTGCTCACCGTTTGAGCAGGTTTGTCAACAAACCTAAGAGGATCTGCCACAGGATGCCAGTGAACCTAAGGAAAGGAAGAATCGTCTTGTAGTTCAGGCCTTTGGCAACATGGCTCTTTTTGCACAGACTTTTTGCACGTGTTGTGTAACTGCCTTATGCCTCAGTCTCCCCCCATGTAGAAGATAACTAGGGACAGATACAGATCTGACATCAAAGGGAAGGCTGAGCCCATCCCGTTTTTCCTACATTGCAAGATGTGATGGAGGAGGTCTCCAGCACCAGGCTGTGGACATGGATAAGAAATGCACAAGCGCTGCCCGTTCTTTCTGGCTCTGTACATCTTGTGAAGACAATATGTGACATTGCTTTGGCAAATCATCAGTTTTCAGCCTGCAAGGGCAAGTAGGAATTGCTCACATAACGAAGGAAGCAAAAAACATCAAACACATTTCGCCTTCTCCCTTGTGCTTCAACACCCTGCTGACAGCATTCATTTCTCCAGTGTTTACTCAGACTGTGAAACCTTTGGGAGAGGCTTGTCCAACCAGTAACACACTGGGACTCGGATGGAGGCTGCCAGCAACCACTTCAGTTCTCTTAGCAAAGAGTAACAGTGCCTCCTAAAAGGCAAAGTTTTAGTTTTAGCACTGGCAGGTGAAAGGTATCTGAGGAAGGCAAAGACCTAAACAAAATCCCACCAATGGCAATGCAACTGTTTCCTCTCTTGTGACACAATGAAACGTTCACAGCATGAGACAGAACCTCCCTCCTTGGGCGAAGGCCTTCATCCCCGCACTCTATTACCCCCTTGAGAAATAAAAGTCTGTCCCATGCTACCCAGTGCAAGATCATTGCTATGTACCTGTCAGAGTATGCCTTGATCAAATCTACACTACTGTGCTTTGCCCTGCACAGCCTTTCAGATTCTGACCATGCAAGCTCTAAAATTGCTGTGTGACATTCACCTTGAAAGAGGTTCTTCCACATCGGTTTAGCTCAGAGGAATAACAAAGCTAATCCTGTAAACACATGGATCAGGCAGTTGTGGTATGAGCCACATTGTTCATTTAGAGTAAAACTATCAAGATTAGTGATACTCTGCTGGATTGAAAACAGAATTTGGAGTATTCAACTCTCTTCTGGCCAAATCATTTCCAATTAGCTGAATACTAACATTTTGTAAGGCTCCCTGGTGCCATCCTGCCATTTGGGTTTCAGCCACCTGCAGTTGCTGGTCGGGTTCATTAGCATCCTGACTGTGTTCAGGGTTTATTTATTTAGTTATTTATTTATTTTTTTTTGCTGCCGTGAAACAAACCGTAATTTATTTTGGGTGCTGAGATTAGCACAGAGCTAGTATTAGCTACAATGGCTCTTTGCTGCTGGACTCGCATGGTTTTTCAGGGTAGCACCATTTACTTATGTGGACATCAAAACAGCTTGATACAAGGAGTCTTTGGTTTCATCTTTTTGGGGGAGACTGTAATGAGTTTGTACCACATTTTGATTAAAGGAAGGTGAAATCCTGAACAAACTACCACCAGCACACCACAGGGGACTTCTAGCAGTACAGTCAGGTCATTTAATCATTCCCCAGGGTTCTCCCCGGACTGATCAGACAGCACCTTCACACACCAAAAACTATAATCTGGCCTTTAATGTTAATTAAGGTGTGGCAACTTAAACCTCAAGAGTTTTTTTTCCTTTCTCTTCCGACGGCTGGCCACAACTGTTCAAGTATTGCTGAAGATTACTATGTTTAAGTATTAAAAAATGCTTAGCTAAATAAGTTAGCTTATTTGCTTTTGCTGATAGTAGCAGTCCACCCACAGAGCCCTTTCAATTCTCTTCAGTGTTTTGGAAAGTGGATAAGGGACTTATTCAGTGACGTGCAAGTCTTGCCCGAGCCAAGAATGAAGCACGCATTTCATGAAATGAGAAATAACCTCAGACCACACACACAGTGTAATTTCTGAACTCCAGCTCGTGCTCTCTTTCGCCCCTCCCCCCCCACACACATACACACACTCCTGCTAAAAACAAGATGATGACTGACATCCCTAAATCCTTTAAGCATTCTTCTACAACTAACAGCAGAGGGAGGTTTTCAGAGCTTAGGTGGCTCATTGTTAGCAACAAGCTGATGAAAAAATGGATTACTGCAGTATGTACATACCATGCAAAAGAGAAATCACAGAAAGCCTATACCACCTAAACGCAACTTTCAAGAGGAGAAACTGCTGATGCAAACATAATAATTATTTTTGCTGCACAGGGAGATGAGGAGAAGCTGTCCCCATAATTTTTTAAAGAACACTGTTGGTTCTGTTACCCCTCGTTTAATTAAGCTAAAATCAGTAAGTGTTTTAAATATTTCCCAGTGTAATTCAGTGAAGTAAAACAGACTGATAAGTTTATTGCATATATAAAACTCACATCCTTTCCTCTCCCAAGCGTAGGAACTGTGCTGTATGGCTGGTGAGAATACACTACATGCAGACTTTTCCACAGCTGTTACTTTGTTGCTACAAAACCACCTTCAGAGGTTAATTCTTCAGAGTTGCAGCAAACAAGTTCACTTAGCCACTGTTACACCGGCCAAATGCCTGCTCAGCTCTCCTTAATTATTTCCTTTGTGCTGGTCTGAAAGAAGTAGCTTCACGGTTATTGACAGGTAAGGCCTTCTCACGCATCAGAACTGCAGCAAATCTGCTGTACTGTCCCAGCAGTACTCAAAATGAGCAAGCAATGGCATCTACAGACTGCTGTATCTCATTCATTGCTTTGTCACTAATCAGTAATAGCATGATCCAAATCAACCGCTGATATCTACTCCTAGGACACCAAATATCTGTTTACGCACAGAAGCATACATTTATACATGTATTATAAGCACTGTTGACACTTCCACCAATAGTTAAGTTTGCTTAACACTTTCCACTACAGGACTCTGCTTTCAGTTGTTTATAACTATGCCAAACTAAGTGCTCAAGCTGAAATTTTCCATGCTGGGTGTCTGTGTCAGGCTGAATTTTTCTGGTAAGTTTCAACTAAAATAGTACAGCTGTTCTGAATATGGGGTTAAAGGAGAACAATCTCATTTTTCCTATGTTTTTCTTTCAACCATTCTATCGAGCAGCTATTGTGTCTGCATGCTCTGGGAGAGATATCGAGGGTGGGAAAAGGGTTACCTTGCTGTAAGTGATGAGACTCTGTCAGAGCTATGTCTTGTACTAGCCTTTTGAAAACCTGCCAAATTTTGGCCAAGTAATAAAGCTCTGAAAAATGCATTTTGTCCACGCTCCCTGTAAGCTTCCTAGAGAGTAGTGCGATTATTTTCTGAATATTCCACTTACAGGGAAGAAGATCTTAACCGCACACAGCCCCTCCATGTTCAGGCTGGGTGCACAACCTTCCCCCAGACCAGCTGAGCATCCGCCTCATTACAAAAGAGTATCGAGCCGTTTGGGGCTTTTCACGCAGTGTCTCATCCTGGCCCCCAGGAGCTGCTGTGGCACTAGAACAGAGAGCAAAGAAATTCTGCTGTTGTATTGGCAATATCAACAGATGGTACCAATGCAGTATGTTGAAGAAAGCCACTTGGTTAGCTTGGAAACAAACTGATTAGTCTGGGGGAGATGAAGGAGCAGAGCAGACTCCAGAGCACAGATCGAATGGGAGGCTGCAATAGGCAGGGCAGAACGACCTGCAGCTTTAAATGCGCAAACCTGCTTTCCAGACTACAGAACAGAAACAAGAATTCCCACATCCCAGCATTTTCAGGTAGTATCTGTGACATCTACTGGCAAGTACATCTTTTCTCCCCTTAAGCGGCTGATCTATGTAAGAGATAGTGACCTACCTACTACTTATTGCTGTTAGCCATTCCATTCAGTCAAATAGAAATTGTGACTCCAAACGCTGATGACGATCCACATGGGAATAACCCACTTTCTGGTAACAGAATTCCTTTTCTTTTTGATTTTAATTTAAAGTCTTAAAGTGTGGCTGAGAAGAGGCCACAGCTGCACAGTGGCTCCCATCTCATCTCATGCAAACCAAGCTATTGGGTGACTGTAATCTTCTTTAGCCCTCACTTAACTCCCGCTTCCCTACATGAACAAAAACAAAAGGTAAAACTAGACAAATAGCACAGACTTAGTGTCTGCTACCCTGTAATCCTGCAAAGCAAAAAATAGAGAAGTTCTCTACCACTGCAAAGAACAGATTCACTGCAGCTTCCCACCCCCTTCTCTCCTCCAAAGGACTGAAACTCCACAAGAAAAACTGGTGACATACTTAAACTATAGTAAGTCAATTAAAGAGGGTTTTATGGCTACCTTTGAGTCTTAAACATAAAGTTTTCTATTAAGATGACACTTGGGACTTCCACAGTGAGGAAAATAAAATAAAAATGTCTCATTCTATTTTTTTAAACTCCCTTAAACTTTCTAACATGATTTTCTTACCATGATTTTTGTTTCAGACACATCATCATCAAGTCTACCAGGAGACAGCTGTCTCTTTTCATGGCAGAGCCTCAGGCTTCGTATACGAGATGAAAAGCCCTAAGTGCACTGAACCTACTACTACCGTCTAAATACTTAACCATGCAGATACAACACTGCAGCATTGCAGAAAGTTTGAAATCTTTACATTTCTGAGGGTAAGGGGGACAGAACAGCTTGAAATTCTGGACATAAGTGCTATAGGTTCCATGCTTTTGGGTTTCTATACACTAACTAGGATATTCCTCCTTCTAGTGGTAGTCACAAATGTAATAGAGGGAGTGCCTGAACCAAAGGGTAAAGGACAAGAAAGAATTTTTAAGTACCTTTCCTCATTATTACTGAGGACTCTAAATCCATCACATGAGTAACGGCAAGTCCAACTTTCCCCTTTAGATAAGTGTCTTCCTACTGCTTTTTCCCTTGAAATGAAGTGGAATTTACAAAGAGAATCCCTTCAAACTTGTCTAGAAATTCTCTAAGAGAAATATCACACTCCAGGCCAAGTCCATTTTCTTATTTAAGTTTTTATTTCTTGTTCATGTAGGCAGCTTACAAAGAATCAGAGAGACGAGTGCCACTCATTTCAGGTATTTACTGTGGATGCTAGTTATGATCTTTCACTGGTTTCATGAGTAGCCTAGGGTTTTCTGAGTATGAGACAAAGCGCCTCCTGACAGAGAATCAAACAATTACAAGAATGTGATGCAACTATGGCCTTAATTCCAAACTACAAAATTATCCTACCTTCCTATATTTAATATATTTATATTATTTTTATATATTTATAATTTCTTTCCATGTTAAAATACTGCATTAATAAAAGTAACAGGTCAGCAACAGAAGAAAACCATAACATCCCATTAAAAAGAAGATAATTCTCAGAAGTGAAAGACAAATCAGAAGTAGTATACTGTAATCCAGCAATATGTAATTGCAACTACAAAACAGCACGGGGCACACAGGGAGGCAAGAGGGGCCTAAATCGTTTTAGCTACGCTAGTACAATCTCTGCATGTAAAAGGACTAAGGCAAGCTCACATCTGAATCTGCTGCAGAGGTGATGAGACCAAAGCACAAAAGAGAACTTGTAAGAAAACAGCTTTCTTGTGGTTACCTAAATTATATTCCCGATTAGACCACAGCATAAATTTGTTTTCTTTGCCATTGAATTATAAACTAGAGAAAACTGGAAACTCTGAGCTGGAACTTCCCCCGCAGCCGTAATCACCAAAAGGCCAGTGCTGCCATTTATACAGTTGTGAGCATTTACCTCAAACAATGTAAGTATACATCTGGTATTTGTTTTTAAAGTAATTGGCATAGAATGATTTTCAGAGTGATACAGAGGATCATGTTTACATGAGTGTCTACTTGATGGAAACAACTTAATATCAAACCATAGGGGAGGAAAATCCCCTTACTATAAACAGTTCTGCTGAAGTAAAACACAGATGCACTTTGAGTTGAGCTGGTATTCATTTAGCATCTGAACTATCCCCACTGCTTTGCTACTGTCTTTAATGGGAGTAGCAATGGGAATCACGAATGTTAATATCAAACCTCCAACATTCAAGCATGGGACCATGTTACACTGGAGTGTTGCAAATTCCAATGCAATTAAGCTGCCTGTGAGCATTTCTGAAGAACCATGCTGTAGTGCAGCAGGCCTGCTCATGCTCCAACTTGTGTGAGTTACTACATATGCAGTCATCTTGTGTGTAGACATATAACAATGCAAGGTTGGATTCTGACCATGTGATTCCATCCTCTCAGCTTAAGCAAACTCTACATTTCAAACAACTGAGATCATCTATTTTCCAGTGTCATGCTATTGTGTGACAGGACATACTTAAAAATACCATAGGACATAGCTCAAAATCAATTATTTCTTTCATTTTAGAGCACAGAATTCATTAGGCCTTTGAAAAGAGTTTCTGGAACGTGCTCAGAAGTACCTTAGCCTGAGGATGCAGTCAAGGATAAGGAGGACCTAGAATTAAGGTCTGCTTCCTGCACAAGTGCCAGAGTCATCCAGTTGCTGTCCAAAGAGGGCATCTCCTCTCCTTTCCTAAAGGCAGTACAGCCTTTGGGATGTCACCTCAACAAAGGTTAGGATGCCAAGTAAACATATTCAAGGCCCTCCGACCAGCTTGTGTAGATACACTTTCCTCTTGTTCTGGAGTTCGCTGCTTCTTACACAGAATCATACACAACATACAGGTGCATTTATCATCACAAACATGCACCTATGGTCCTTGCGTTCTATAGAAAAAGGCGCATGCCTTTTAAGTGCTCTGAATCACTTTTCAGGGGTGCCTGGCTCTTTCATCTGCACAATCTATATATCCAATTTAGACTGCAGAAATGGAATTGCCTGAATGACTTTAAACCTACTTTTTAGGTACCTAAATCAGAAAGGTAGAATCTAGCTCAAAATCTTGAATTAAAAGATCATTACTCCTTTTCCATAGGATGCACTGTGCGCTGAATCACTAGGTACTGAACCACGGAATGTGCAAATGCAAGGAGAGAGTTTACATGAGTATATTACCTCATTTGTTGCATAAGCTGGAAGGTATGCAATGAATAAAACATGTGGGGCACTGCAGGAACAGAAAAATAATTAAGAGCAAAGGTAAAGGCAGCTAAATGCTCTCATGGAAGAACAGAATCCGCTCCAGCCGTAAGGTTCTCAAGCAAGTTGCTTAAATCATCTGTTTTCTAGAGGGTTCTCATCTTCTAAATAGATACTTCTAAAATTATTGTTATGCTGGTACCATTTTCTCTCCCATTTGTACTCCGTTGGCTGACCGTGCGGAAGCCACAGTACTGGCATCAGTCTGCCTACCAATGCTTAAAGTCATGACCTGCAAAAGCTGAGCAAATACATCCTTTCAAACGGTCTTACCGTGTTCCTGAAATGCTTGTTTCCACACCCTGAAATTCTCAAACATATTCATTATCCGAAATCATTCACGCTCCCTCCCCCAGACGAAATATGAAATCTGTCTATCACATGGCTACTCCCAAATCTAGTTTCAGGCATGGCTTCAGTTTGCAAAACACACTTAAGATCCAAACCGCATTACAAATCAGGCCCAGGACATACACTGTGTTTTTAACTGGGTTTGGTGACAGATTTGTAAACAGGTTCCTGGCAGAGCTGCATTTGTTAGCACAGGCAGGGTAAGATTTCCTACTATTTCACTAGCATCCTTTCCCCCCCCCTAGAAGAACCCCATTGACTCAAAGAACATGGAAATTGGAATAAACAACAGTAAAAACCTGGAGAACCATTTCCAGCTGAAAGCAATGACAAAAAAGATGTCATTCTCCTCATGGCTGATTTTATATTCAGATCAGATGAAAACTACCACGAAGCCATTTTCTTATGCTAGGATGGTTACAATTTCCACGTAACTCGTACCTCATGGCAGCCACACTGGAACCTGTGAGTAGAAGCTGCATGCATTTCCCTGTACCATAACCCTGAACACAGAAATTCCCAAAGCCTGCTTTCTTTTCAAATCTAAACCAAATTGTAATCAAAAATTTCCAAGAAGGCAAGCTATATGTTTATTTTTAAAATTTGAAGGATATACTTTCAGATGTAGGTCAAATTCTTCCTTTTTGACTCTGTTATGATTTTTTTTTAATCATATATACCTATTCATGACAAAAATGTTTTATACAGAGATCTCTGGGGCACTACATCTCAGTATTTATAGCTTGGATGATACTAGTAAAATATGTTAAATTTGTACAGGAAGCTACAGAGTGGCATAAATCTTATTTCAAGACATTTTCCTGTGGCTGAGGTCAACTGCAGATAACAAATGCATTTCCACAAATAAATAGCAGTATTTGGCATATACATGCATAAAACATGCACTTCCCTAGGGATTTTGATTTATGCATGTCACCTCCTTATAGATGAAAAATGTCATTTCCTGGTTACTTCACAAAAACAATGATGTCTGACGTGGGAATCATTCCTGCCATTCAGCCTCGTACAGCTCCACTGCACTAAAGGTTCTTCTGAAAGTCAGGCGTGCCATCTTGACCTAACTCAATCCTGATATCGTCTTCCCCAATATATACCAATGTAGACCATGACTGACCATCTAATGGTGCTCAGGTTGAGGCCTCTGTCTAGTACCCAGATACAACCAGAAACCAACGAGATTTTTTAGCCCCTTCTAGCCCTTAGATACTTTGAGAAGCCACCAGTCCCTCCTCCTGGCCTAAAACTAGGTCAGTTATATCTACGCAACTTTTAACAGATGCTCGTCTCTCCTGTTCTTTCTTAATGACCTGCAGTTTCGGCACTCCACCCCAGGCAGTCTATTACACTATACTTACCCTTAGAAAGTTTCCCCTAATACCGAACTTAATGTTTGCTGCAGTTTAAGCCACTTACCTCCTGTCTGTTTGCTGTGCTTATGAAGGCACTATTCCTTTTCTCTTTGCAGCAGGAGCCTTTCATGCATTTGAAGGCCACATTCTTTCTTCCACCAAATCTTATCTTTTCTGGGCTAAGCGGCATCAGTTCACCTCTCTAAACGGAAGAAGGTTTATCTGTAAAGAAAATCAGTATTGATACCATTAATAAAAGGCCTTAGTTTATTCTGTATTTATTAGGGTCAACAAGAACAGGCTAGCTATATCTCAGGTTGACTTCCTTAAACTGTCCACAATTCAAAGTACCAATGGCTAACTATTTTACAGTTTCTTCTTTATTTTCTCAGTTTAGACTTCTTAAGCTTAGACTTAAGCTGCTCCAGTTGACTCTCCTGAATTTCAATTTGTATCTTAAACATCTCGGATATGATAAAATGACAACAGCAGTAGACTAAGGGTGAGAGAAGCAATTAGGAAACGCATTGATGTTACTTACATTAGTTGCCTGTAAAGACCAAGCATCTTACTACTTTATATGTTAAATACCAAGTTTCTTGCTCCAGGCAGTTAAATCAGGTTTTCCCAGTTAAGTTTTTAGATGGTTTCCAGTTACAATAAGGGCATAATGGTTAACCCAGAGACAGAGCAAAGCCTATAACAGCTTCCCATGACCTAAAGTAGAAGCTGCTCTAGATCAAATTTTAAGCTTATTTTCCAATGGGCAGTCATCCAGACCACAAAAACCACCACAGTTCACAGACTACTGCTGTGCAGCTTCAGTGTCCAGGGTTTTAAAACTTCGTAACATTTACCCTTCACATAAAACAATTCATATAGTATAGTCAATGTAAAACTCCATATTAATACAGCATTACATTTGAGATTTCAAAACCTACAGAAATTAAAGATTAGAGTTAGGGCTCCCAGACCAACATGAAGTCCTGGTCTCCTGTGGTTATGTGTTACACCTTCACATGATCCTGTAACACTGGGAAATATGACAGACTATTCAGCAAATGAGACATGACTTTGCTTATCTTATAACCATTTCTCCAATCTGTGAAGGAACAGTTTTCATTTGGAGAGTTTGTATCAGCCAGTCTTTCAGGAGTTAGATGATAATTTGTGGGTATGTAAAAAAATCCTAACTCCATATATACCATACTGTATATTCTCAAAAACTGATAAGGTAAACCTCTGCTTTCTGAAATACTAGTAGAGCACTAAGTATTGGAACAAAAATAAGACCTAACAGCTTTTGTTTTTTGCCCCAAATGCCCTAAAAAGCATTTCTTACATACTCAGAAACATATAGATGTATCTATGTTTTGCATCTGAAATGCCAAATAGAACCCTTAGGCCCTGTTCCTGACCATCTCAGTACAAAAAATGAACAGGTTCTGTTTTAGAACTAACCGAATCCCACTGCAAGCCTCTTCTTCAATGGCTCTTGCAGGAGAGCCAAGGTATGGACATTCAGGAGAGCACACTTCCCATAGGGCCCATTGCAAGCCGGAAGATAATGCTCTCTCATGAGGACAGAATACCAGCCGGACTATTTCCACAAATGGCCCCATTCTGCCTACTTGAAAATAGGCTCAAAGGGTAAGTTAAACAGAGAATCTGTGTTCCTGACTAGATCCCACTATGTATATAGTGGTGAAGGGATGCATGGTGATTCAGAGCATCTGATTTATGAGCTTAACCCTCTCAACCTAATTATGCAGAATGAGAGTGCCCTGCCTTCTATATTTTATCTAGAACTGAGTAAGGATGGAGAGACATTTTAGACACTTGTGCCATTTCTGCAAAGATTCACAACCTTTCTCATATGCTGCACTGGAATCCATGAACTTTCTAAAGACCAGGACAGCGGAGAGATGTAGGAAGAGCACAGCACTGCCCCACGCAGTTGAGGCACTCCAGAGCTCTGAGTGCCCAGGCAATGTCAAAGAGGCACAGCACAGTGCTTAATTCATTTAGGGGTCTAAAGGTAGCAACTAGGTACCATGGGCTTGGGGAGAAGGAAAGAAAGGAAAGTTTTATATTTAAGCACTTGTTTCACAGAGACAAAGTGGTGGTAATCAAGGTACCTGCTTACATCTTTTCCTCCACGTAGACTCTGCAGACTACAACAATTTTGAACACAGCGTAATATTTGCAGAGTATTCTAAGGAACTGCTGCCTTGCAAGAGTATGGTGAAATGCATGTAGAAGTTAGATGCATTTAACTTTAGACTGCAAAACATCACCTTGTCACAGCTAACAATAATCCATAGCAATCAAATGTCCTGACCCATCTGAGCTGAGACTATCAAGCAGTAGCATGCAGAGCTCTTTCACAGCAATCTCAAGAATGTGGATGTACATCTTCTATAAGTAGTGGTCATAATAAAAACATACATAATTTCATAACAACCTCTCAAATTAACTCAGCCTAAGAACAGTCATTCTGGAGCAGACCAAGTTTCCATCTAATCCTGAGTCCTGCCTGTCTTGGTGGTGGAGCAGCAGCAGTGAAACAGTGCAAGCAAGCAAGAGAGCAAGTGAATCTTTTAGAAAACTAGGCAGCTTTCTCCAGTAGTCTTGAAAGAAATAGTATTTGAGAAGGTATGCCTACTCCCGAATTTCCTCTGGACCATTGTACCAAATAGTCCATGAGGGACCAATCCTTCCTGTTTTGTCTAATTCCTCTTAAGAGCCAAAAGTTTCAGTTTAAGCAGGTATTGCATAAAAATACTTCCTTCGTTTTGAACAAGTTTTCTTAGATGTAAAAACACACAATAGAGAAAACTGTAAACGAAAGATGACTCTACCAACTGCAATGTGCTGCACAGACAGTCAGAACAGACTTTTTGTTAAAAAATAATTTATTTGAATCTTGGCAAAGGTAATGATCCATTGGGGATCCAATCTCCCTAACAGGATGGTTTGGACAGTGACAGGATGGTCACTGCTGGCAACAGGAGTCTCCGTTGCAAGGGTCCTTGCCATGGCATCTTCAGGTGGTTTGGTGAACCCCCCCCCCCCACACCACCGTATAATCACCTATTTATATTAATTACACACAAGACACTGTCCTACATGACCATTTCTTCCAGAACTTTTTCTACTGACTATTTACAAATGCCTTATCTACTTACAATTTAATCAATTCTGCAGCAGAAACCACCCTAGGGGAGTCTTTGGGACATTTCACCAGGGATGTAAATCAACACACATAACTACACAAATTAGGCTAGACACAGCAGGAACTGTCTGAAGGAATTTCAAGAACTATCGAAAAATTGCCACCTGGAGGGCTTCTGTAGCAATCGAACACTTAATCGTGAAGATTCAGTCCATCATCTAAGTTTCAAGTCTGTCTATTGTCTCAAGCCAGTCCGTTCTCTCTCCTATGCAGATGTCGGGCCACCCAAGGAATCAAGGATCTAAGTACACTAAGTGTGTCTTCAACTCTGATACAGTTACACCAGCACAACAACTAAAGAGCAAATTTAATTTCATACTTGGAACTCACTTCCAACTTAAGTGCCATAGCTCTTGCCACAGAGAGTAAAGGTAACAAAAGCTAACCATTACCATTAGATGGAAAAGCATCTGTTTCATACATGCAATGAATGTGACCAAAGTATTTACATGTTAGAAAAAAAGGACAGGACAGTTAAATTTACATCCTAAATGCAAGACCATTCTTCTTCTAAAGCACCTTCAAGATATAGCTGTATATTTTTCAATTCCATGAGTTTTGAGTACATAAGAGTATCATACATTCTGGAGCGAACTGCTGTAGCACAGCAAAAATTACAATTATGTTAAGTATAAGGCGACTGACAAACCTTCTGGTTATTAGCACAAGCTGAATTCAGGCTGCAACATACTTAACAGCAATACTTAGTGTCAACAGCAGAACTGCTTCAACAGAACATTACTGTTAATTTCCTCAGCAAAAGTTACCTCATTGTATTTTTAAGAGTGAGTATGCAAGCATGCGTTTAGGAACGAAGCCATAGAGATGCCCATGAAATTGCTTACAGTAAAATACTAACGTGTGAATAATGAAGCCAAAGAAAAAAAAATAATCAGCAATCTGTGTGTCCAGTTGCATGCTATTTTCTAAGTATGCACTGTATTAAAACTTTTAAGAATACAGAGCTCACAAAATGAAACTTAAATTTATTAAACCACGCAAGAAACACCAATTTTCCAATGTAAGCCATATTTGTTTTACATAATTGTCCCACCAGTTTCCTTTCACACCAAACGCTCCCATGCAGAAGTAAAAGATAACAGCATGTCTCAATTACTGAAGGTCACCAATATGTATTTTTTTTTCCTTTGAAAAGATTATTCCTCCTCTTTCCTTGCATAGAAAAATGAATAGCACCCAAGTATTGTCCAGGCCCCCGCATCTGACAAAGACATGATGATAGCCTACAAAGCAAGTGGCATGGAGAGATGAAAGCAGCATGGCAGGATGAAACCTGAAATCTGATGTCATTTAATGCACTGTAGATCTTGCATTGAAAAAGACAATGAACAAACATAAGGTGATGCTTCTTCACATTAGGTAAGCTGAGGAACTCGGGGCCATAGGATATTGAAGATAAATAGAGGCTCCACAGGGAAAAGACAAGGAGCAAATTCACAGAAGAAAAAAAATCCACCAAGGTCTATGAGACTTAAAGATATCACCCCATCTCAGGAAGCCCCTGAACCCCATCTGTCTTGCAGCTCAGAGAATATGAGGAATATCACTGTCCAGTCTGGTTTAGATCATTAAATTCTGCCAGGATGACTGAGGGTGGCCAGATACAAGCAAAGGGAAAAAAATTACTTAGCACTGTTACTAACTGTAGGAATGAGATCAGGATTTAAAAAAGCAAACTGCATTCAGAAGATTTAAAAAGAGTTTAATTTAAAAGTAGCATATCATACCTTACAGTAGTACACTGTACAGCCAATGTAAAATGTAAATCAGTGGCATCATAAATATAAATTAATCACTTTGCCTTTAATTTCATGGAGGTATTGTTTTTTGCTGCATATAGTTTCAGTTGAACATATATAATGTTTGTTTACCTAAAACAATCACAGTGCAACTCATGTAGAAAGCCTTCATTTTACTACATTGCAAAATGTAGCAGTGGATGACTCATCTTAATCATCTGGACTGTATTTTTTCCACAGAAAGTTTTCATTTTTTTTCCAAAGAGAACTTTCACACACTTTACTCTTTTCTGTCACTGAGGAAAGAGGTGCTCTTTCACACAGCTTCTCTACAACTGCCATGTCTGTGAGCTTTCTGAGGCTGTCCTCGTTCTGCTCGTTCAGCATGTCCCAGAAGTCTTTTGGTCTCTCTTTTGATTTTTCTGCTTGCCCTGAAGGAAGTCTCCTTGGTGATTCTGCAGGCCCATTTCCATCATTTCTGAAGAGATCATTGAGAATAGAGGTATCTCCAAGTAAGTCCATAAAAGAGTTTTTTTTACAAGTCTGAGCTTTCCTCTCCCCGTTTTCTGACTGAGACAGGGATCTTTCTCTTGGCGGCTGTGTTCCTTCCGAGTCCTGTTGTCCTTTACAGCTATTAACAGACAGCACTTCAATTATTTCTGATCTACGGCTTAATGAGCCAGATGCCATAAAATCCTTCAATGCCTGACTGCTTCCCCTTCTGACGTGTTGAGTAGGAACAGTGAGTGATTGTTTACATTTTGCATCAACACACATATTATCTTGTATGCAGGAGTCACTGTGAAGTTGCTCTACTTCTCCTTTATATCTTTGCTGGCTGCATACGTCTGTTGTTCCACTCCGAAGATAACCCTTAGCTGATGAAGGTCTAGACTTAGATCTTCCAAAATTAACAACGGATTTTCTTTTTCTGGAACGTCTTGTACACAATTCTCCTTCCTCATAGTCACGTGAAACACGTGCTGGTATTTCAACTGCAAAGAAAGACTCTGTCTCTGGATATGTGGAAGTATAAAATTCCTTCAACATTTTCTGCCGTGTCTCTGATGTAACTTCCGCAATATATTTTGCAAGTTCTTCTACTGATCCCATGTTAAAGTGGGATACCATTTCCTCAAATTGTCTCCTGTGTCATCAGGAAGGAAAAATAATAGTTATTCTGACACCTTTAATTAGGAATACAAAAAGCTTGCAGGTAACTCAGTCAGTTCATTTCCTCATAGATTCCCAAAATTAAATCACTAGAAGTAATTTCCTTTAGAAGCAGTATTTGTTTTATTAGCAAAAAGAAGAAAGAGTGATGGTCTTAGAACTAAAGTGACTTATAAGTCCCAAACTCCTGTGTGATTTCCTCAGCTGAAGAGCCAAAGATTCACTGACATTCAGTGTAGGTAAGATTATGTGTCAAAGGTCCAGATTTCAGAAGGTATTTAGCTACCAAAGAGGCAGATAGATGACAGAATGTTTTGGGGAAAATAAGTAGTTGCTCAGAATCCTTTTAAGAACTTGTTAAACTAGAGCTGGATAAACACATGCAGAGGAAGCAGGGACTGTCCTCTCTGCCTATCCAGCTAGTTATCTATGGCATATTCATTCGTTTTCTGCTAAAAGGCCAACCTCTTAACTAAAGGAGGAGACAACCCTGAGGACAACCCCCATAGTCTGGGGTCAAGCTTGGGAAAGCAGTAACTTGAAAAAGGGAAAGGTGAGTTTATGTTCCCTTGTCAGAGATGGGACATGAAACTCCAAGTACCTGCACCATGTGTGGCGACTGCAGGCAGCATCCCATTCAGCTTTCTAATTACAGCAGACCAGGCTGAGGCACCTAAAGATCTCATTCACTGTATAGGGGATCTAGATGCATTACAAAGTCTGAGTTCTACCCACAAGCAAGTTGATTTGCTTAACATTTAAGAGCACTTCATTTTTAGGCGCTTAAGCCTTTTGTTAGACATTGCTTTCAGTTCCTATGATAACATTCTCGGTCACTTCACTGGCTTTGAAAATTTTACCAGAACAAATTACTGATAGTTATGGTTACATTTTTGAAAATCTTAGCATGAAGGGTTCCCCTCTACCTCCTGCTTAAATGTTCAGAATTTGCTGTCTCTATAAGAGTTATGAAATTGTAGCACTTCAGTAAGAGGTTGGGTAGCTCAAGCCAGCTGGCTAACGTAATGGATTCTGAACACTTGCAGGTATTACTTAAGACATCAACTCATATCCAGTTATTTCGTTGTCTCAAGGCAAAACTAAAAATAAATACCTAATTCCACTTCTACCAGTTTGCTCAGTTAGCAGCAGCTTTCTCCTTTCTATTTCCACATACCATCTGGCTATTGTTACTGCATTTCTATCTATGTACCACGGGAATTTAGGTTGTGCTAACAGTAACAGCTTGGGAAAAAAGGAAAAGATGAGAAGGTGGAAAGATCATCATCCTTCAAAAGATGGGGGTAGGAAAACAACATATTAAAAGAAATATTTTTTTAAAAAAAGAGCAGCATGCTAAAAAAAATACAACGTCCAATCTTTTTACAGTCTTTCAATGACAGTGATGAGATCTGTGTGAAACCAGTAGCCAGGTGAAAGTTCACACTATAAAATTTCTCATTTCTACACAGTTTAAACATTAGTTTGTCGTACTGCTTGGTGCACATACCGTGAACCCTGTGGTGACAGCATCTTCATGGCTATGTAATGCATGACATATTGAATCAACATGCTAGAGTGACTTGTGGGTTCAATTAATTTTATTAATCAATTATAATACTCTTTGTATAGTGTGAGCTGAAGTTTCCCATTAGTTCTGCTCTTGCCACAGAAAATCATCAGTATTCCCCAAGTACGGTTGAAGCATAAAGACAAAAGAGAAAGCAACTGCTCAAAGGAAAGTTCTTTTAAAGCTTAAAATTTACTTCTGTCTCAGCAAGACAGTCTCACCTGCGAACTTCTTTGGGTGTCTTTCCAAACAAGAACGTGGTTGAACCTACTTTGTGTACTTTTTTGTTTTTCTGGGTTACAGGATGCGTAACAAACAGGTGACGTTGCTTACTGTTAGCTAACATTTCTTCTCTCTTAATATTGTCCTTCCCTGCTATGTCATATTCTTTTTCTTCGTTATTCTAGTAAAAAGAGATACAGAAATCACCAAAACTGTTTTTTGACATAACAATGAGTTCTATTATGACCACTTCTGCCATCATGAGCTAGGGCTCAGTGGTTTGGGTGTTAAGACTCAGATTTAGAGCTCCAGCGTGAACTCCCTGTTTGATCACAAACTTCCTGAAACACTGAAGGCAAGTGTTGGAACCTCATAGATAACATGGGATATTTTTACTTCAAAAATACAGTTCTGTTGTGAGTATAAATGCAGTTCTCTAATGCATTAACAGGGGATATACAAATACTTAGTCTTGTGCAACAGGACTTAAGTCCCAGTTAGACCCGCCAAGTCTTAATGTCTGCATCAACAGGTTACGGTCTTAATAAATACATAATCCTCCAGAGTCATTTAGCAAGCTTAACGGACCATCTAGATTCAGTAGCTTCTGCTTATTAAAGTATATTACACAGTTCATGCACAGTATATTCAGAACTGTTAGTTACTTTACACTCAAATAAACCTTTTTAAAACAGCAACTGATGAAATACATGTGACTTATGTTATTTTCAGCTCTAGGTAAATATGTCTTAAAAGTATTTTGAAAGTTTCTGCAAGCCCACTGAAAGCTAAGGCCATTTATTTTCAAAATCTGTCAAAATACTTTGTCAAAATTAGCAACTATAAGTAATCACAATACTATTCCACGATAATAGAGTTAGGTAGAGCATTTTTTGCTAATAGTACATTCTCTAATACCACAGTCACAAACATGCATATTTAATCAAGGTTGTAAAGATGCTTTGAAATAAATATTACAATATTTACCTGGAAAGGAACCAAAAAAATTACATGCTACTCATTATAATATCGATAACATTAAAACAGTCTGAAATTTAAACATGATGATTCATAAACAGGAAATACCAATATAATTGTGATAGACATAAGAAACTGATGTTTTAATCAAGTTAAAATGATGTTGTTACCAGTCTAATTCATCATGCATCAACAATCAGCTTTTTGGACAAGAATATAATCCTATTTGCACTTTAAAGTTCTTTCTTGAGAAATTCTCCTAAATTCTTGTAGACTACTTCCTGTCACTCGAAAGGCAAGCCAAGGGGAATACAAAGATTAAAAAATGTGCATAAGAAAAAAAGAGAAAAATAGAAAAGCAACATTACAGTTTGTTTTTTTGGTTTTTCAAATGAGATGAGGGGAAAGAATAACTACTTAGTATTGTCCTCAGTCCCCCTACTACAGTATTGGAGAGATGAAACACAAACTGTGTTCACACCTTGTCATCTGCAGTTAAACTTTGGTTTTGGATCTACAACATTTCTCCCAATGTGTTTCTATTTGATCCATGTCCACTTCCTAATTTCCATGGGCTGTTCACAACGTTCTTGAGCTTTAGTATCTCGCATCTGTTCTCAATCCATTACTTTGGCAAGTAACTTCAAACTAGCATATAGAGAAAGATGTTAATCCTACGGGACCTACAGGCATACATTTTCACTTGTGTAAGATAAATGCACAACTCTAAACATTAAAATTTCACTGCACTTTTAAAAAATAGACTACACAAAACTGGAAGCAAGGCCTTGATTAAGATGAAAAAGCTCTCTATCTCCCAATAGGAATGTTATGATCATAGCAACAAACTTAAGACTGAATTAGCAGATGTTATCTATAGCATATGTAAATATTCTACAGTTATCTTGCTCATTCTCTATACATTTTAAAATATTTAAAAGTATTCTTTTTTGGATATGCACGGATAAAACAGAACTTCACTTTGAAAATGTATTTCAAAAAGAAAAAAATGTTGGTTTTAAAATACATTTATTTCGATGAAAGTTTTTGAATGAAAAATATTTATAGCTTTCAGACTTCAGTGTGATAAGACTTAGCATCTCTCAGGAATCAGGAGTAATGGGGACGCTGTATGATTTAATTCATGCAAACAAATCACGTAGAATGCAAGCCTAATCAGGTCAATGTCTGTCTTAGAAGATTTTAAAACTGGCATACATGTGCATCCATCTACCTCCTAATAAACAAGACCAAAGTATATGAGGCAGCAATACTTTGGTTTATACATCTGTTCAAACACAGGAGATTTAAAAAAAAAAAAAATCTCTCTCTTTGGGAAAAAAGTCAAATCTTGCAAACACACTGAAAGTCATAAAATTGCTTATTTTTGCAGAGAATCAACGAGTGCTGTAAAAAATACTGCTAACTGTAAGTAAACCCACAAATGTATATTTAGTTTTACAGGTACAAAACTTCACCAAAGTACATTCACCAAAACTGGCAAACTTGAAACAACAACAGCAAAATACCACTCCATCAACATGGAGCTCCTCCTCTTCTGCCCAAATACACTGCTGAAAGCTTATTCCAGAAGGTAGAGAAAGTTACTGTAAACAGTTACTCCAGGAGCTATAAGAGCAAATACTAGCAAAAGCCCAAGGCCACTGTGAATTACTCTTAAACATCTTAACTCAGCTGTCTGGACTAAAGCCAGTCGGTTAAACGGCACTCGCAGAGGCTGCAGCACAACAACTGGCTCAGCTGAATTCATGATTATTTCTTATAGTTTGCCAACTGAAATCTAACCCAACACCCCCAAATCCAGTAATTTCTTTTTTTTTTTTAATGACAAACTTTTGTCAGCCAAATGAAAAGATTTATTCCAGTTTTTCTTAAGATATCTCCATGTTCTCTAAAGGTCTAATCTGAAGTTCGTTACTTTGAGCGACACCTGAATGAGACCTTAGGTAGAGATAAGCTTTGTACATGTACAGATGGAAGGAAATACTCCCTGTAACTTTCTACTAGGGTTACGGTTAAAAAAAAATGAAAAGCTCACTCTACGTTCCAGCATTGTATTATTTGCTTTCTTTTGAATTTGACTTCATATATTACTCTAAGTCTACTCTAATATCTGTTTTCTTTCTGAATCCCCTTTTCAGTGGTTGCCTTCTACCTCACTGACTCAAATCTATTTGATCCCAGCAACTTCCTTCCAACAGCCTTCTATTTTCTCTTCCTCAAGAGCTTGCTCTATCATTAACTCTCCTCCCATTGTTTAAAAAGTCCTCCTACATCAAATCCCATGTTGACATTACAGCACTGGTCTTGCTCATCTGAATTATCCTGTATATCATATGCGGAAGGCATTCTTGCAAAATAATAATGAAATTAACAGAATTTAATTGCCCTAAGAACTCCTCTATGGCTCAGTCCACGCACTTCTCACTTCTTGATTAAGACACTACATGATGCATCTCTACAGTGCTATGAATGTTAATAGGCGGAATGAAACAAGGTCTAGGAGATTAGGGCAAAAAAAAAAATCGACTTTTATTCCTGCATTACCGATACCAGCCTATCTAACAATCTGTTTATATAACTGAATAGAAGACCCTTTAAGAATTACTAAATTCTGTGACGAAAAATACATCACAAGTAGCATACTGCGCATTTGGCAGGGCACTTTATCTTTGCTTAACTTATGTTACTGTATATTAATATACTGAGGTTGGTAAATGTGGTGCTGAATTTTTTGAAAAAATAGTATTTTAATGATAAAAAAATATTACTACAATGTTTTCAAATCATTATTGCAACACTGGAAAGACACCAGTGTTTGGTCCATAAACATACCTCAGGACTGGTAAGAAACAGTGGTTTAATACAAGAAAAAAAAATGTAGAGAATCAAAAGAAAGAGTCAACATTTTTGTCTAAAAAAATTCTAAATCTTTTGCCAAATAGCAAGTCTGGCTTTGCTTTATGGCTCAGCCACACAGCTACCGAAAAATGTTAACCAATTTAACACAGGGAGGGGAAAAATAATCAAAAAATTTAAGTCACACAAACAACAACAGGAATTATTTCTCCTGGAATTAAGATTCCACTAAATAAGCCACAGGACAATTTTCTCTAGCTTTCGAATGTAAATATGCTTAAAATTTTCAAATATATGACAACAGGCAAGACATTCTGAAAACAACTAAAATCAACAGTATAGAAACCCAAAAGGATTCCTGCCAAACGTTACACCATCACGGACATACAGGATTACTGTGTCTTAAAATATCTTTCATGTATTACATAGCACATTTTCTAATCAGCCTTCTGGAATATTTATGATGCAAAGCTAAAGACATAATTAATGCATCATATATATCATTATATGCACTATACATGTTTTAAAAGAAAACGTAGAAGATTGACAGTAAATATGAAATATGTTTGTCTTCATCAAATATTTAATTAACTATAATGATTACATTATATGTTTGCACATTATGAAATTTTCACTCTTCAAAGACTTAAACTTTCCCTTTAAAACCTGACCATGTATTATTTGGTTATCTGATAAATCTTAAACAGAGATAGACAATTTATTTCCAAACAAAAGCATGCATCTAAGTACACAGAGTGCCACAAATGAAAGGTACCACAGAAGATACTTTCTTCTGTTCCTTCTTCATTTGTTATGTATGCCTCTTATTTTTAAAATTATAGGTAAGATTTTGGGTTTTGGATACCAGTGATAAGCTTCCATTCCTTTGAGATGCACATTACCATACTGGGTTTAATCAAGAGTCCAGCAAAAATGGCAGCATCTGCACATTTGAGAGTCCCACAACAGTCCACATTTAAGACTCACACGTACTTGCTTTTCGAAGACAGTGAAGATATGCAGCCGAGCATCAAGCAAAAAATTCAAGTATTACAAGGCAGGAATCTCTTCTATCTTGAGATTCCACCTTTAATCTATAACAGCTCTTGGATCTGCTAAACACCATGTGATGATCTAAGTGTCTTCTGCTGTACTGTTACAGGAGTTTTTAAAAGAGTAGACACATACCAAAGGCAACTTTTGTTTACCTTTGACAGTACGTAAGTTCTGCATCCTCCCTTCCTACAACAGGCTCTGCACTTTGGGGAAATTAATGCAAATCACTGCATGAGCATCCTCGCCCATGACTGAGATGCCTGGCCACCTTAAGCCTGCGACCTTAAGCCTGCAACCTTAAGCCTCTCTTTCTCACGTTAGCTCCTTCAAGCATGGCAAAAGGGCACAATGTGCGTCTTTTTAAGTACAACAAGACGAAAACATACAGGAGAGCAAATGAGCACAGGCTGGGAGTGTGATGACTAATTGAATCAAGGATGATGCTTGCTTTTTTAAGCTGTCTCAACTCTGTGGCAATCCCTCAAGTCACCAGTCAGTATACAGCATACTGTATTTCCTTCAAAAGCCTGAATCTCAAGTTCTATGCATGTTTGCATAATTATTCCTCAGCCATAATTGTACTATGTCTGAGTTTCTTCCTCTCTTACTGCTTAGACTACCCAAAGTATCACTCTGGTAGTATCCTGCCAGATACAGATTTCCAGTCAGCAGTTCCCCTCTCTGGTTTCCCCCACTCATAGCTGGAACTCTGTTAACTGGCTTTTCTCTGCAAGTATGCATGAAAGCAGTGCTGCCAGATAAGCAGGATACTTTCCATTGCACAGTTCCATTGTTTGTTTTCATTTCTAAAACAAACAAGAAAGGATTGCTCAAGTCTCTAGCTGCCTTGCCATCACCTAAACCATACAAAAGCATGAAACACAGTAAAGTCAGTACAACTTTCCTCTTAAAATTGTTTATTATTTGCTTGCAAGTCAAACTCTTATGCGATATTCTACTTTGAATTTTCTCACTCCATTCAAAACCTGAGAAAATACATGACTTTCTGGATGTTTTGCAAGTTGCAGCAGAGTTTGGACTACTTGTTAGTATTTTTACTGGCTGTTACTCACTGACTGCATTCCAAGGAACTTCTCTACCTACCCAAATTATAATCTCAAATAATCTTTTCCCCTTATAGCTTTCCATGTCTCCCCCCAGGGCCTTTTTCTACAGTATATGTGAATTGCTAGGGCCTTTCAATATGTTGTTCTTGAATGCATGCTATTCTTAGTTATTGTTTTTATTTTAACTATACCTTCTATACTTGTCAGGACACATATAAACATCCTGAGATGTCCATTACGTGACTCTTCATTCTTGGTTTCTTCTTCTTCTCCCTTCCACACTTATGCATTTCAGACAACATTTTCTTCCTAAATTATTCTGCATACCAAAGTATAATGGCATCCACATACAACTTTTTCTGTAGTTACTCTAAAAATAAGGTGCATATAGTCAAGATCATAAAACAGCTATCCAGAGCATATAATCAGAAAACATCTACTTTCTGCTCGTTCTTAAATAAACCAAAATTGCTTTTCTATCTACAGATAATATGGTATTGCACAAATGATGTACTTCAAAGGTGACTTACACATCTCACAGCTTGAAGCAAGCCTGAATATTATCAAATTTTATAATGATTTCTAAAGTGCCCATTAATTTTTCCTTAGAATTTAAACTTTATTATAGAAAAGCAGTCTCCCTCAGATCAAACTGGCCTACTGTTCAAATAAAACAGGATTGCAGAATGAGAATTAGATGTAATTGTGAAGGTAATATTCAGCATCTCAACTGCCTTAGAAAACGAAGCTAATCTACCTTGAATTTTCAACTACTCTAGGACAGCTGCATTTTATACTTAAACTTTCTGAATTAGACAAAACGGTTTGGGACGTGGGCTACCGATGCAGTGGCAACAATATTTAATATTTGGTAGTACCAG